CTCTCTCTCTTCTCTCTCTCTCTCCCTTCTCCATCTCACCTCTCTCCCGTCTCCTCTCTTCTCCTCGTCTCCCGTCTCCCGTCTCCCGTCTCCCGTCTCCCGTCTCCCGTCTCCCGTCTCCCGTCCTCCTCTCCCGTCTCCCGTCTCCCGTCTCCCGTCTCCCGTCTCCCGTCTCCCGTCTCCCGTCCCCGTCTCCCGTCTCCGTCTCCCGTCTCCCGTCTCCCGTCTCCCGTCTCCCGTCTCCCGTCTCCCGTCTCCCGTCCCCGTCCTCCGTCTCCGTCTCCCGTCCCCGTCTCCCGTCTCCCCTCCGTCTCCCGTCTCCCGTCTCCCGTCTCCCGTCTCCCGGTCTCCGTCACCGTTCTTGTGACACAGTGGCCTTCCGTTCCTTCAACACGTTCCAGCGTCCAGCAGCCGCATTGTCGTTGGATGTAGGCGTCAGTGAAAAGGACTGTGCACCGATCTCAAGCGTGACACTATTTCTGCCGTGTCTGTGCACGTGGGTTGAGTATTGCACCACGGGAAAAGGTCGCATCACTTTGCATGGAAATTAGGATCAGTTGGGCAACACCCATGCATATGTAACTAACCATCCTCGCGAATCGCCGCTTTGCCCGCGTCCGCGCGTTTCTTTGGATATTCCTGCGTAGTTTTGTTCAGAGATCGAACGGATGCACTGGTGCACAAGTCACAGACGAGCTTTTGGTTTGTTAAATGCTGGTGTTATGTTGGTTGGTGGATTCAGTTGCGCTGTGTGGCTGATGATGATTACTTTTTCAGCCTCAAAATGTCGCCCAGGTTCCCAGTAGAATTGGATGTTTTCACCGTGCCACATTCTAGGATGAAGCATCTTGTAAAGATGTATTCGAATCAGGTATGGACTTGTATCGTCGGAATTGTACATGAAGATACTGCCTCAACTGTTGCGCTACATGATATCTTGGAAGCTGTGTCGCCTTAGCTGCTCGATTTGTCTGGATTTAGCTTTCACCATATTTTTGTTCTATTAAAAGGACAGTGCTTCTTAAAATGGCAACAAATGTAGCTTGATGAGTTCGGGATCCATTGCCGTCAACTCCGTACAAACATTGGCACGGTCTTAATGAATCATATGGACGTGAGCCGGCGCCGTTTGACTCCGCTCTGGTCTGTGCGGCCAGCTGTCGGCCACCGACTTCAGTAGCTCGCGCGCCGTGGCGGCACTGCTCTCCTCGCTGCTGGTCACGTTCCGCGAGTTCCGGTGCCACGAGCAGATCGAGAATCAGCTGATTGTCGGTCGCCTGAAGCGGCGGCTGAGTGTCCGCTCTGCGCACCACGCGACCGTGTGTAGCTGTCACGAGGACAACCGGCTGACCGAGGTGAGATACTGAGTGTGATCACCTCGAGGAAAGCCAGATGAGGACAGCCGGCTGACCGAGGTGAGATACTGAGTGTGATCACCTTGAGGAGAGCCAGATGAGGACAGCCGGCTGACCGAGGTGAGATACTGAGTGTGATCACCTCGAGGAGAGCCAGACGAGGACAGCCGGCTGACCGAGGTGAGTTGCCGAGTGCGACTATCACTGAGATGACATTGCCAGAAGTGAGGATGCGTGGGATCGTCCCGGAGGCAGCCCAAAAATTCCTTGTAGATTTTAAATGTTTGTATAAATGACTCCTACGAAGGACAGCCTGTGTCGTAATCGCCTCTACCAATGTCCATGTCTCGTGCTGCGGCCAGATGCTGGAGCTGCTGGAGACTAACGTTGCCGAGGAGTGCTGGTCAGCCCCCGGGCGAGACGCATTTCTCCTGCGTCTGCGTCGCGCCCTGGACGACTTCACCGACCGCTTTGTGCCCCACATGGAGGAGGAGGAGCGCGTCTTTCAGGTGGGGACGGCCAGAGCCCCTCCGTATGCCCTCAGCAGCGTGTCGCAGCTGAGGATGTGACTCAGCACGGCTTATGTTTTGCACGCGCTCGACCACTGTCAGCCACTTATGACGATCGGAAGTTCGTTCTTTGATTGCCGTTAGTCGTGAATAAAGTTGTTTTGGGGAAAGGGCGGCTGTTTGACCTGAACTGACCTGAATTTCTGGAAGGCGTGCTCGAACTCAGACGCTGTGCGTTTTTTTTTAAGTCGTTGTTTCGGCTCCTAGCCTCTGTTGATGGAGTACTTTGACTACAATGAGCTACGGGAGCTGAAGCAGCATGTGCTGTTGGACCACTCGCTGGCTGAGAAGGCGGATCTGCCGGAGAAGCCGGCTGAGCCTCTGCCCGACCTACCGTCCGAGGTGCTGACGCACGTGCTATCGTTTCTGGGGCCGCCGGACCGCGCCGCCGCCGCTGCCGTCTGCCGGCGGTGGCGGGAGGCCGCGCTGGCGCCGCCGCTCTGGAGGTCGCTGTACCCGGCCCTGTGGGCGCGCGGTGAGGCTCACCACCGACGCGGCGGTCGGCGTCCGAGCGTCCTGTTGTGGAAGAGGTTCCGTGTTTGTCACCACCGTGTTTGTCACGGGTTTTACGGGTTTTGTGCCCGATCTTTTCTCGGTTGCCCGTGCCGTGGTGGTTCTTGTTTGAAGACAGTCGTCTTGCCGGATGTCATGCCATGCTGTTTGAACTATTTGTCTTGCATGCTCACGCACCGACTCCTCTCATTCTCCGTGGAAACGCCGCTCACCGTCCAGTGAGGCGATGCGCGTTCTGTTCTCGGATCACGTGATCCCAGGTCTTGCCCACGGCCATAGAACAGAGTATTCATCCCCCTGACCTCTACGACATCTGCGTTTCAGGCGTGTGGGACCCGTCCCAGGTGGACGTGGTGGACGAGCTGCTGACCCGATCTGAGCTGCGGAGAGCAGCGTGACCAGGACGCCGATGCAGATGACGACGACCCGACTTCGCTGGCAGAGGAGCAGATGATCCGCCGGTCGGTGTTGTCCCCGAGAAACGATGGCGAACTGGCTGGCATGGCCGATTTTTTTACCTATCTGAGGAAGTCCGCCGTACTCGCGTGCGCTGTTACTCTTGTATAACATATGTGCACACGCGGCGGTGAAGCCCACTCGGCCAAGGCAAACGCCTGCTTTTCCCAACGGTTTTCCCTTAGAAGCCGCTATTTGTATGGGAAGAATGGAATCCAAGCTCACAGACAACTTCCAGGGCTTGTAGGTGGGACAAAATGCATTCATGTGTGTGTGTATGCAGAGGCTGACACACCGCATGTGAATGTAGGCTTCAACCTCATTTGCTGGTCCATTATGTGGTGCTGTTTGATGCTGATGAACCGCGTAACCAAGCAAATGCAGATCAGATGGTCAATTGGAATGGAATCGAATGGATCAATTTCTGGTGTGTCGGCAACCCCATTAACTCGCACTGCTGGCGGTGTGTCAGCAGTCGTGCCAATCACGCCACCTGTAGTGTGTCGTCATGCACCAGGTTAGATGCATCATCAACGAGGTAGTGTTGGTTGGTTTCATGTGCACTCGACGAATCAGTGCGGCCTCTGGTGCGCCGGCACGTCCACCAGCTGTGCTGATTGGCAATGTATGTGCAGTCTGACCAATGGCATGCCGCTCCGAATGCGTTGGGTGCTCTCCGGCTGGTGCTGACTGCCGTTGGGTTCGCAGTCTGACCAATCAGACGCTGCCGCTGGTGGGTCGTCATGTCCACTGGCTGGAGCTGACAGGCAGCCGGTGCCTGGACAGCCGCCAGCTCCGCCGCCTGCTCTCGCGCTGCCCAAACGTCCGGCGTCTGGACGTCAGCTACACCAACATCGGCGACGCAGCCTTCAAAAGGTAGTGCGGACCAAACATTAAGGAACACGAAACAGTCGCTGTCAAATGTCTCCCGCTTGGGTTCAAAAGCACAACCAGTTGGCTCACTTTTCAATGATTCAGTTGTTTTGTTTTAATATGTGCGGCTCAGACTGAGAGCAGTACCACAAACAGGCTATTCTGATTAATGCCGTCAGACGTTGAAGAAGGTGTTTATTGACTGAAGTGTGCAAATGGAGTTGTGAAATGGCTTTCAGCCTGTAACTTACGCTACTTGTAGTGACCATGAAAATGTATTCGTCTCACCAGGGATGGTTCTTCCACACCATTCTGTGACGTGTTGGTCTGTTGGCGGTGTTGTTTGTGCCGGCCACGCGGCGGCGGCGTCCCTGGCGGTGCGTCGCCGTGCCCGTGCCTGAGCGGCCGCTCCGTGCGGCAGCCTGCCGGCGGGAGCGCTGCGCTGTCTGGAGCACGTCAACCTCTCCGGCTGCGAGCGGCTGACTGACCGCGGCCTGGCCCGGATGGCCTCCCAGCTGAGTCCAGCCGCACTGCTCACCGATCAGCTGTTCGACTCGGGTGACGACAGCGCGCGCCAGCACGACTCCTGTTCCTCGGCGTGCCCCTCCGACTCCGACTCGGACTCCGGCCGGGCGGCGGCGGCGGCGGCGGCGGTGGCGCGGCTGCGGTACCTCTCGCTGTCCGGCTGTTGGCGGGTGACGTCGGTGGGCGCGCGGTGCCTGGCCGCCTGCCCGGCCGTCGCTGGGCTCCGACACCTGGACGTGAGCGGGTGCGCGGCCGTCGGCGGCGGCGCGCTGCGTGCGCTGGCGGCCGCCGCGCCCGGCCTCCCGCCCGCCGCGCTCTGGTACTGCGATATGGTGGCGGACGGGCCGCACCCGCTGCAGGCCAACGGCTGCGACAACCTCGAGTGTCCCGTGCGACGCTGCTGCCAGAACTGAGCGGCGGCGAGCCGGACCGGGGACGAGGTAGCACGCAGGTGCAGACAGGTGGGTCCAGGTAGGGGCGAGGTACCCACCGAGACGTAGGTCGGGGAAGTGGGAGATTCAAGAGCATTGGGTGATTCTATGGGAAGGCAGGCCCCCGATGAATGTTGATCGAAAATCTAGGGGAGAGTGGTCAACCCACGGTCTGCGTGCCGAATCTGTGCGCAGCCCGCGACAGCGTCGCCCGAGAACTCTGAGAGTAACCAGACAATGTAATCGGGACGAGCCTTCGGCGTGATTGTTGGCACCATCTGTAATCAGCCTAACAGTGGAGAAGCGGGCCTGAACCAGCAGATTGACTTGCGATCCGGGGAATGCACAACTCAGGAACTTAAGGTATTATATGAAGGCGAAGGTCAGTTAGTCGCTGGAACGAGTAAATACGGGCGGTGTCGCAAGACCCTCGCGTGACTGTGTTACTACCGCGTGGACTGTGTTACTTCCGCGTGGACTGTGTTACTACCGCCTGGTCACTGTGAAACTACTACTTGGTCATTTTTTATCAGGCTGCCAACAATTGGGCCAAATATATGAGTGACGTTCGACGTAAGGAACGTCAGCTGCGGACAACGGCCCGCACAAAAACAATGGTGCAGGACTACCCATCCCAAAGATGAAGTACATTGTAGGTAACGGGTCCCTGTCGAGTCCACTGTTCCCGAAAGGCTGATACAGCATTACTATGAACGTTCGCCTCTTGCGTATATTGCGAGCCACCGAAGACCAGGCACACGGCAGCGGGTTGGGCGCAGGGATAGTCTCTTCATAAAACAGTCATCGTCACAGAGTGCGGAACTTTAACAAACACGCGACGGCACCGTGTGACGGCGGCGGCCGGTGGCGGACGCGGTGACGTCACCGGTTTGCACCGACGCCTGCAGGTACGAGCTCGATATGCAACGGTACGTCATCCACGATCACCCCTGACTCGAGCCCTCCCGGCTACCAGTCGCAGCTCGCCCGACTGCCGCCAACAGCATGGGTTTTCACCGGCGGAGGAGCGTCCTCGACGCCTTCAGGCCTTAACTCGCCTGTACTCGCCCATTGCCGGGATTCGTTCTGAATCACCCCCATTCATACGCCTACATTCACGCGGGACGGAGACTAGATCAGCTTCCCTTCATCATGAAAGGGGATGACCCTGGAAGCCACTTGTCGATGGGGGATGTCCTGCGCCACGTCGTGTCCTACACAAAGCGCATATCAAGCCGCCGTCTCGTGGCGGGAGATCACACGACCTCACACAGCCCAATATCTATCCTGTCACTGGCCACGCCCGCATCGGGACGGGCGTCCACATCTGGATCCCATCTTCGTATCACCAATCACTGTACGCATCTGTGATGCCACTGATCTAACTCAACCGCTTCATGATATCAGCCCTTTGGCACTCCGCCGTTACCCGGAGCCGTCCCTCCGACCTACAATGCTCGTTTCTCCGCTTTTGGAACGCTCAGCGATATCCTCTCCCCTCCTTGCTCTCGCCACCACTGCTCGTCGCCCCGTCCGCGCCACTATTCGCCCTCCTCACCGTCCTCCTCGTCGGCGAATAGGTCGAGCGCGAGCCGGCGGTGCTCCTCGGTGTTGATGTGCGCCAGCAGCGCGGCCGGCGTCGGCGCGGTGACCTCGCACAGCGGACAGTGGTGCGGCTCGGCCACGTCCACGCTGCGCGCCGCCGTGAACAGCTCGACCACGCGTCGGCAGAGCTCGGCCCGCTCGGCCTCCTGCACCGAGCGCACGCCGCTGATGAGCACCGGCAGCAGCCGCTCGTCGACGGCGCCCTCCAGCCGCACCTGCAGCTGCTCGGCGGCCGGCAGCCGGTGCCAGCGGAAGGCGGAGCGCGGTGGCCGGCGCCGATCGGCCCGCGAGGCGCGCCGGCGCGCCAGCAGGCGCAGCAGCCGCCGGCGCCGGCGCGCCTGCTGCTCGGCCACCCTGCGGTCCGAGTCGCGCAGACGGTGCGGCTCCGGGCCGGCCGCGTCCGCGCCGCCGTACATCATCCAGAACGAAGCGCGCAGCACGTTCACCTGGTGGGACGGGGGCTTGTCAGGCGAGGGGCGCGACAGCCGGGTCAAGTGTCATCGTCATGGGTAGAGAAGGGTCATGGCAGGTCTCGCAGCGACCGCACCAACTTTTGCGGACATTACCCAGCATTTAACATTCCGCTATTGCAATGCGCATCTTCAAGCATTTTTGCCACGCCCACTTTTCTTCACATTCTCCAACCATGGACAGCATAGCGGCTCTCGCTAAACGCAGGGGTGGAAATAAACATATTGCCAGGAGCGAGCCTCAGACCACGGAAGCACTGAAACGGAGATCATCACGCAATCGCACGAAGTGGGCCCGGAGGGAGAAAGCGCGTGTGTGAGCTGGGTGCGGCACTGCAGTTTCGAAGGCAGCACAAGGTGCGGGGACTGGATCTTCGGAGGGAAGAGCTCGATGCGTTGTGCAGAGGGGAGCGGAACTGCCGTTTTCAGCACCTATCCACGTCACGACGGCGCCGCCTTCACGACCATCGTGTGATCACTGCACAATGTCACCATTCGCACGTCCTGCCTGCCGTCCTGTTCTCCTAGCAGCCTCCCTATCCCACCAACAGGCTGGCCGACCGTCCGGTGCTGGCGTCGACGCCAGCGCGCTAGTACTCACATCCACCAGGTCTTTGGTGGTGATGGCCACGTCGAAGCCGACCTCCATGTCGTGGTCGGGGTAGACGGCCTGGCCGGTGCCTGGCTCGGCGCCCAGGCCGCAGACGGCGCCGGCCAGGCCGGTGCACTCCTGGTCCGCGCGCAGCTCCACCGCCGGCGCGAAGAGCAGCACCAGCAGCGCCGGCAGGCCCGGGATGTTGGGCATCATGGTGGTGCCCTGCGCGCGTATCCGTGAGCCATCGCTGGTCGGCACCACCTGCCGGCGAGCGGGGCGGCGTGAAGCTGCAGGGCACCGCGTCTGGGTCGGGGGGGGGGGGGAGGTGCGCATTGCCGTGATTGGGTCAAGTGGGTCCTCACTGCGGCGGCACCTGGCAGCTGGAAACGGCCATATATTGCAGACGAGAACATGAACACGACGATGTATGAGCCCATCGCTCCGGATACTGTTACAAAACGAACTCAGCGAGATCAGAGACGGGTGCAAAGTGATGCAAACTGTCGGCCCCTCACGTCCCGATATACATCAGCGAGGACATACGGACTCGGCCAGTGCCCGGAGTGCGTCGCACCGCCGTCACCGAACGCAAGGTGTCGGGTGGAGTGGAACAGACACGAGTGGATGTGGTGCTGGGGTGGAGTGGGCGCTGGACTGCTCCGCACGCCTGAGCGGTCTGGCCTGAGGCGGAGCGTACCGGCCGGCCAGAGCGACCACGAGCAGCGCCCCACCTGCGCCGCCACCAGCAGCCGGTCGAACGGGTTCTGCGGCTCCGTGTCGAGCAGCACTGAGTTGCACGAGTCCGTGTCGACGAAGGCGGGCCGGGCGTGCAGCGAGCGCGGCAGGCCGTGCAGCGTCAGCAGCAGCGGCGAGTCCGGACCGCGCAGCGGCTGCCGGTCACAGCCGGCCTCCTGCCGCTTCAGCCAGCCGGTCAGCTCCGGGTCGTCGGCCAGCCGGCGCTCCTCCCACTCCTCCTGGCGGCCGTCCGTGCTATACCTGCCGAGCGGCAGCCGACGGCGGCGTCAGCGGCGCCACTCCGGGGCAGTCAGCTGACCACGGCGCGTCGAGGGCAGGTCAGGTCGGCGTCGCTGGCGAGCGGTGGGGCTCTGTCGCGGCAGCGCCAGTACTGTCGGCCGTCGGCATCAGCGCCGGCGTCTCGTAATCAGAATCCAAAGTTTAAAAAAAGATTGAAATTGCAAATCGGATTTCCGGTCTTTGGAAAGCTCGTGTTCCCTTCCAAATACGTCATGCAGAAGGGAAGACGCGCGACAGCACCGATGGACAGCCAGAGCTACATCTATCGTTTGGGGGCTGGGACGCGCCGCTGACTCCCAGCCCACCGTCCCGCCCCGGTCAGCGGTGATCCGTCCGCCGCGTGCGACCACCCCGTCTGGCCATCGACCGCCCTGAGGTCGATCACAACGCTAAGCAGAATCATTCTGCATTCAGCAACCCGTAATCACAACCACGTCCGAACGGTAATGCCGTATCGATCTGCCCCGATAACACAGTTTACCGGGTCGTTATTCGCGTTGGGCCCTCGGGAATCTGCCTTTCTCTCTGCCTCTCACGGGAACGCATCCCCCTCTCGTTTGTGGCTGCGTCCTGGCGACAACAATCGCAGGCGAGGCTGGCGTCTTCCACGTACCACCGTCGCGCGTATGCTCCGACGTGGCCTAAATAACAATAGCCCGCTTCGGCCGATCGAACCCGCCACAGACCGAGGCACAGCTCTCCACCCCCGCAACAGCTGACGACCCTGCACCGTGAGCGTCGCAGCGCCCGGCGCCACTAACCGAGCTTCCCTCTCGCTGTGGTTCTGGCGTGAGAAGTAGCCTTCGAGCGCGTGCTCGGCTAGCTCGGCCTCCACCAGCTCCTTGTTGATGCTGCGGTCCATGGTGGCGTGCCCCTGGCGCACTTTGCGGAACAGCTCCACGTGGATGGTGCCGTGTACCACCTGCAGCGGCAGCGGGCGTCACTGGCGTGGACGCGTTCGGTCAGCCCCCTCTCCCTCTCACGCGCGGGACGACCCTGTCAGGTAGGGAGGGAGCGGCGGCCGAGCGGCACATGGTGTTGGCCGGCGGGACTTCCGGCGCCCTCCTCCGCTAGGCGCGTGGCCGCTGGGAAACGGTCAGCGGCCGTCTGCCACCTGTCGCGTCCGGCTCGGCACAGGCCGGCTACCCCTGCCGCGTCCGGCTCGGCACAGGCCGGCTACCTCTGCCGCGTCCGGCTCGGCACAGGCCGTCTGCCACCTGTCGCGTCCGGCTCGGCACAGGCCGGCTACCCCTGCCGCGTCCGGCTCGACACACGCCGGCTAGCCCTGCCGCGTTCGGCTCGACACACGCCGGCTAGCCCTGCCGCGTCCGGGCGGCGAGATACTGAGCGCGCTTCACTGATTACGCCACCACTTCCGCTGGCCATCTCCCACCGCAGCCGCGCGCACGCCTACCGAGTAGACGTGACCGATGACGTGCTGGTAGAGCGCCAGCGTCTGGAACTGGCTGATGGCACGCTCGCCCCAGCGGCCGGCCATCGCCTGGGTAGGCTTCAGCTCCGAGAGTGTACATTCGGCCGCCAGCGCTTCCGTCTGGCAGCATCCGAACAGCATGTCATGGAAATGCCGAGCATACTGCCACTGAAATCGCTGGCTGACACAGATCACCTGACACAGAAACGCCGAGCTTATTACCAGTGAACACGCCGGCTGACACAGATCACCTGACACAGAAACGCCGAGCTTATTACCACTGAACACGCCGGCTGACACAGATCACCTGACACAGAAACGCCGAGCTTATTACCAGTGAACACGCCGGCTGATACAGATCACCTGACACAGAAACGCCGAGCTTATTACCACTGAACACGC